TCCTGAAACTCAAAGAACGCGCAAGAACAAGCCCTACGGTTTGCATTATTTTCCTGAATTTGATGTCATGATTCATGCGCATTTGATACATATTGTTGGGTGTTTTGTATTCACAGGAACCTTCTGAAGCTAATAACATGGTTTAATTGCATTATAAGGCTCTGCATCGTGATTTGCCATTAACACATTTTAGGGTTTCAGAGCTCCCATATTGGGGTTTTCCTTGTACTGTAAAATTGGACCTCAAGACCAATATAGACGAACTCGTTGCAACAAGACGAAACCATTAAGATACTCGCGCTCAATTTATATAATCTGTGCGCGTAATCGCTATTTTTTGGACTTGTGTTTTGTGGGGGTTTAAAACCCCCGCTATCTTATTCATGTTGCAGGTGAAAACGAGGAAGAAGATGGGCGTGGCATCATGTGATTGGGGAGTTTAAACCTTAGCGCGCTTTTTTAATGTTTCAGCATAATGGGCACTTTTCATATATTATCTTTCTTTATTATTATGTATACAAACGCGCTTGGTAGCTCAGATGGTGGAGGACGTGTCTTGCAAGCATAGGGACCTGGGTTCGATTCCCAGGCCCCCCCACATAATTGATAATTTTTGTTCTAACGTATTCTAGTGCAGCGCCTCATCCAACGTCCCACCATACATACTCACGCGTAGCTTGCCAGATGGTCTTGATCAATAATCCAAGGGCCACAGAATGAATTCCATGGTAGGCTCCAGTCAATGAACGTGTACACAACCTGAAAAGTCAACAAGGCCTTGTGTCTAATGGGCCTGAATTGCTGCAATATCACCTCTACTTTGGGCCTGACACCCCCCTTGGTTTGCCTTGCATAATATTATTTTCTTTTATTTTTAATTCTTTTAATTGCTTTAATTATTTTTATTAATTCACCATAAAATAGTTTTTCCTAATAAAAAAATCAGAAACTAAAAAATGTTTTATTTTTAATTATTTATTAATGTCACCATTAATCTATTTTTGTAAATAAATAACTAACAATTAACTTTAGTTTAATTTAGGTTTAAATTCTAATACTTTTCTTAATAAATAAAAATTACATAGAATTAGGTTTTGATATTTTCATCTTTTCCTTAATTAATTATTATTATCATTATTAATTATTATTAATTTTGTGCATAAATGTAAATTAATTAATTAGCTTAAATTAGGTTAACTTTAATATTTTCTTAATAATTAAAATAGACTTAGAATTAGGGTTTTCACTTGATTTTATTTTCTTTATTTCATTAAATACAAAAACATAAAAAACACTTTCTTTTCTTTAATTAAATAATTAGGTTTAATTCAATTTAATTTCAAGCAAAGGGTCAAAACCCTCGGACGTTCAGTTTAATTCTTTTCGCGCATTATTTTTCTTATTGATTATTATGTAACTGTTCAAGGATGTAATAGTAATTAGGTTTACTGCTTCTTCACTTTCCGCATTTTTATCAAAAAGGGGTCTTTGTATTTTGGCGATGTATAGACCCGCGCCTTGTAATAGCGTAGCTTTTATCTTTCCGTCTTTTAATTTTCCGCACTCTTAAATTCTAAACTCGCATGAAAGAATGTATGGTAATTAAAAACAACGCGTAGCTCCCAATGCCATGATCAAAGATAAAACATAACATGAAAACAACACACAATACACACACCACTTCTAGGGTACGCCTCACTCGTTGCCTTCGAAACGTGGTCGTCAAGTATAGGACGTTTTAGCGGTCGCTCTTATGTCCATGATCCAGTTGCCTCGAAACAGTTGCCTCGAAACGGTTGCCTCGGATTAAAAAAGGATCTAGGATGTAAGGGTAACTTCTAAGGTGTCCTGCTATTGCTTCGGTGACCACACTGTCCCTAAAAACGAATTGACCCGAACACCTCCAACGGTGGTGCTACCTACCTCTCAATGGTGGGATGGCACTACCTTAAGGACTTTTACACAGCCTAATTCCTTAGGGTAGGTAGATGACTCATGGATACTTGCTCTCTTCAAAAACAAACAAAAATCTTTTCACACTGACACTTTCAAAAGCTTTCAAAACAAATTTTTCAAACACTCTTGAGGACAGATACAAGAGTCATTCAGAAATCTTTCAATGAAACTTTTTTCAAACTCACTCACACTTTGAAAAGCAAACATTTTGAAAACATAAGAGCAAGTATCTAAGAGCCCATGGATAACCATGGATAGAAAGGGTGCTAACACCTTCCCTTTCTATAAATCTACCTCCCGAACCGAGAAACGTACTCATAAGGAATTTTGCTATGCTTTTGTCCTGTCCATGTTGGAGAAAATAAAAGACGGTGGCGACTCTTGCTTACCGCGACATTTCGCGAACCAGCTAAAAACAGTCAGTTCTATTTCCACCGATCACACTCTTCTACTTCCCTTGTTTCACGGGCATCTCGACGAGGGGCGTCTCCGCGCTAATATTGGCCGAGTCTCCCCCATTTATGAGGGTTTCGATGGCGTCCTTGAGATGGACGCAATCTTAGGTCAAGTGTCCGTGGCTCCGGTGATACTGGCAGTACTTGCTTCGATCTACCCGAGGTTTAGCAGGAGCGGGGAGAGGACGCTTGATGCTGCCATCCTTGAAGTCTGTATTTGCGCACTCCGCTAAGATGCGCTCGCGGGAAGCCGTTAGAGGAGTGTACTCAATAAACCTCCCTAAGGATCCCCTTTATTCCCGGGCGTCTCGGGGTTTTTTGTCCCTTCTCTTCTGGCCAGTTAGTCGAGGAGGGGTGGTGTCTTGTTGCAGATTACTGGTAGATCAGCGATTCCTGGGATCCTGGTCTCTGTTGGCCTCTTCTCTCTCCTCGTAGTCCATATAGGCTCTGGCCTTCTCGAGGAGGGCGTCAAATGTCTCGGGTGGTTCGATGCCTACATCCTTTCTGAATTCGGTGCCCGGGAGGAGCCCCCTCTTGAGTAGGTATCTCTTCATGTGGTCTGTGCAGGGGACCTGGATGGCCTCCCGGTTGAACTGGTTAATAAATTCCCTTAGGGTCTCATCATGTCTCTGGACGATGGCCTCGAGGGATGCTTCAGTCTTCGGGTGTCATCGTGAAGCAGTGAACGAACTTATGAATTGGTTCTTCAGATTTCTCCAAGAGATAATTGACCTTGGGGCGAGACCTTTGTACCTGTCCATCGCAACTTTCCTTAGAGTCGTGAGGAACAACTGGCATTTGATCGGTCCCCCAACATTGTGATAGTGTAGCATGGCTTCAAACCTGTCTATATGGTCGACCGGGTCGGCGATGTCGTCGTATTCCTTTAGATGGGGAGGCTTCTCCATGCCCGGGGGAATGAGTGCCTCCATGATAGCTTGTGACAAGGGACCGCGGGGTCCATCCTCGTCACTCCGTTCAGGTGAGCGAGACGGAGATCTGATGTAGTGGCGGTCACGGTGGCCCTGGTCGCGCGGAGTGGTCCTCGGGCGGTATGACCGTTGGTGGTTTCCCCCGTTCCTGTCTCTAGGGGATCTTCGTTCTTGACGCAAAGGGCCATGGTCGCGCCTTCCCGCATCAACGGGTTGTTCTCTCTCTAAGATGGGCCGTCGCCCGAGTGATCAGGGAGACGGGCTTCGAGAGATATCCCGACTACGTCTCCGTGGGGGAGATTGGGGATGTTCCTCTGCTTGTCGAGGAAGAGGAGATTGAGGTCTCCTGTGTCTTCTTGGGGGCCTCTGATCGTCTTCGAGCGCCCTCAGTCTTTCTCCCTGGGCGAAGATTAGGTAGTTAGTTTGATTAATTGCCGCGAATAGTGTCTTGGTCGCGGCGTCTGCCCCGACGGGGACGGGAACCTCGTGGAATTGGATGTGTTGGTAGTTCTAGGGAGGTGGCCGATCATTTTCAAGTCAATGGGGCAGTGATGTTGACGAACCAGTTGCTCCGTCTCTATAGTCGGAAGGCCTGAGCATATTAACGTTGGGGGCTGTGTTGTGGCCGACGGTACCGGCGTTGTCGAGGTCGGCATTGTTGTCGGTGGTGTTGTTGTTGACGTCGATGCTACGAACGTTCATGTTGTCTGGAGTCTGGTCAGCCATGACAGTCGGGGATTGTTTATCTTTGGTCTCAAGTGAATAGAAGACGGGGAAGCAAGTTTCCCACAGACGGCGCCACTGATCTTACTTGATCAGGAATGGACCGTCACAGCTGGCTCGGGCAGAAGTTGAATGAGATGTGGCAGGTACCTGCAAGACACTCCGATGACAAAGTAAGTTGCGGAATGAGCAAGCAAGTATGAGTTTAGAGAGATGAATTGAATACTTGACCCTCTTGAGAGAGAGGATATTTATAGCCCCCAACACTGGGCCAAGGTTCCCACTCTTGGGCCACGTTGAGACCCAATAACAGGAATTTCCAGGGCTTACGTGTGTATGAAGTCCAGCAAGTGGGCTCCCCCTGGTCAACTGCTCCGTGAAAATAGGGTTGGACCCGTGATTTCCGGAGGGCAGTTTAAGATGACTGTCGTGGGATCGTGGGCCACGTCCTCCAACGGTCGGATGAAAACTTGCCCAACGGTCTCTAACTTAGACCGTCTTTGGACTTTCCATTCGCAGGACAACAACTTCAACACCCACGACGTTATTATCTCAGTTAGGGTTAGAGGTGGTACGACCTTAAAGGGCTATGTACCACCACCTTCTAATACTACATCATGAGAAAAACATGTTTAAATTTAGGAAAAAAGTGGCAGCAAACAGCTGAAGTCAAGAGAGAGAGAAGAGAGTGTGATGGACGAGAGAAAGAGAGGGAAGAGAGAGAAAAAGAAAATCAAACACAAAAAGAACACTAGATAACAAAAAGCCTAAAAATCAAACTAGGTAGGATCCACTAACCAATTTATTAAAGAAAGAACAAACACACCCTAACAACCTGCTACCAAACAACTATTTCCAAGCAATAGAGATACATTTATCTTCTAATAAATCATCACTACGACATTGGAAAATAAATGTTGTAGATAAATTAATGTCATCCACCATGACGTTTTCTTCTATGTTGAAATGATATTAAGGCTTCGATAAACTCATCCTTTCCAAAATCAGGCCAAAGCTTTTTGTAAAAGAAAAATTCAGTGTATGCCAATTGCCATAGCAAGAAATTACTAACTCTAAGTTCTCCACTTGTCCGGATCAATAAATCTGGATTAGGAAACTCAGTGCAGTTTGTCTCCAACTCCTTTTCAAATATATTTTCATCAATATCTTCTAAAAGAATAACTTCATCTTTCACTTTCTTGACTATACTTTTACAGGCTTGAACTATATCTAGTTTTCCACCATAGTTAACTGCCATAATAAGTTGAAATTTCGAATTCTTTTTTGTATTCTCTTCAGCATTAGTTATCATTCTTTGCAAAGAACTTGGAAGCTTTGATGTATCTCCAATTACAGATACTTTAATTCCTTCCCTGTATAATAAGTCATTCCAAATTATAAATTTTTAAATATTAGAGTTTTTAAACAAAAATATTCTTTTTTTTATTGATATTCATCTATTAGGTAAGTCTCCTTCACTCTAATGTTTTTTTATTGTTTTATGTGGTTTGTATTGTGATTGAATGTATGTATGATTTAAATCACATTACAACTGTAGTTTGATATTATTGTAGAAATTACCACATAAGTAATATTGTAATCGCTGTTGCTGTTGTAGACTGCAATTTAAAATTATTTAATAAAAATATACAATTTTTTAGTTAAATCATATATATAAAATGTGTCTAGGATGACTAAGAATGTAATTTTTCACTTTTTTTTATATATTGCCAGTTGCTTAAATCATAATTAGTATGTAATCAATTAATTAATGATATTTAAGTAATTTAATTAATAAGAATAGTGAGAGTTTGAGACCTCTTCCATTCTTCAAGTTGAGAATGTATTAATCTTTCCAAGAGATCAAACAAGAAATCAACTTCCACCTGCACCACCACCACCATCACAAATTATGAAAACTAAATCTAAATCAAAATCTCCATCAACAGCGTTAATCAAAGTGAGTTAAAAACCTTGGGCCGATTCCAGTTATCACTAGAGAACGCGAAAATTGTGAGAACCTTTATTCCCCAACTAGAACATAGCTTCAACATGCTTTTGAAAGAATTCATACCAGCAACGTGACCGGCAGACACCGGTAAGCCTTTTGTCTTTGCCCACCTCCCATTCCCATCCATTATCACCGCCACATGCTTTGGCATCAGCTCCGCCTGCAGCTCTCCCGGCAATGGTTCCAATCCGGGAAAAGTTTCCCCTTTCACTTCATGCTTAGCAGTCGTGGAGATTGTGCTGCGTTTGGTAATGGGTTTAGAAGAATTTGGAAGAAATTTTTGATAAGGGTAATAAGTAGAATTATAAGAAGTGGTTGTGTTTGGTGTAGAATATGTTATTGGAGTTTTCTGTAATGGAATGGGGAGACTTAACCAAAACATGGTAGTAATATGTAATAATGTGAAGGGAAGTGATAAGGGTTTTCTTGACTTGGCTAATGCATGTGAGAAATGGAAGGTGTTATTATTATAGTGTAAAGGGATATCTTATTTATAAGAAAAAACAATAAATAAGACAAAATTTGATTGGTTGTATTGTATGTAGCATGTTTTTAAAAAGGTGAGACATAAATTGTCATGTTCAAAATGTGAATAATTTACTAACAATCATAAAAATTAGTCAGTTGTAAATTTACAAATATTTCAAATGTATTTTTATCATAAGAATTATTTAAATAAAAAAGATAACATAATATTGTAATAAGTTGTGTTATTAATTTTAAATGGTAAAATTTGTAATCGTAAATACTCGTAAAAATACATCAATAAAACTTTACCATAAAGTCTCAATTGTTTATAGATGAAATTGTTTCTCTCAAGTCTCAACTGTTTATAGATGAAATTGTTTCTCTTCTATTCTTTTGATGATCACCAACATATATAGTAGTTAAGATAATCTCCGCTCTTAGGCTTATTAAAGACCATAAAGATAGTTTCCCCTAATTAAGTGTGACATCTCAATAGTGATTGAAATTATATTGTTTTTTCGGATTATGGGCCACAATGTTTATCAATTAGCCATAAAAGTAGTATCTCATACCCTTAAATCTCTTTATTTGTAGCCTCTTTTACGTTAGTTTTGGGTTTGATGGGACGACCTGATCCTTTAGTCTGACTCGACCTATCGTTTGACCCCCTCTTAGGGTATACACTCCTCACAGTGTTATCTAATGGGCCCAAATGTACGCATTCTCCGACCTAACAAGAAGTCAGACATTTACTTATTTCTTTAAGCATTAGCCGCTTACGGGCGGAATGCTTTTCTAAGTCCCGTTGAGAGGTCGTACATTTACACAGTCCCTCAAGCATGAGCCACGTAAGGGGTGAAATGCTTTCCTGTGCCCATTTTAGAGGTTAGCCATTTACATAGTCTCTTAAGCATGAGTCACACAGGGGTGAGATGCTTTCTGAGGTCTATTGATGGGTCGGACATTTACACAGTCTCTTAAGCATGAGCCTCGTAGGTGTGAAATTCTTTCTTGAGCCCAGTTAAAAGGACAAACATTTACGCAATCCCTCAAGCATGAGCAACATAGGGGTGAAATGCTTTGTTGATCTTGGTTAAAAGCTCAAACATTTTCACTCTTTAACGAGCTTCCCCTGACTTCTTGGATGTAGAGGCATTTATTTGCGACCAACTATTGTCCATTGGTTATTCAATCTTAATCTTTAACTATACCACTTATAGTAGACATAACAACTTTTTACTAGTTGCAATGATTACTAGGTGCCATAGGAATTGTAGATACCTAATGAGCTACTCCCTCCATCCCATATTATAAACAAAAGTTACTTTTTAAGTTTATTGAATATCTAATGTATATAGTCTATATATAGACTGGATACATTAAATATTTAATGAACCTAAAAAGTAACTTTTGCTTATAATATGGGACGGAAGGAGTACCCACACTCACTACATCCCTATGAGAACCATTTTAAATGTGGCAGTCCTTTTGTCTTCCACTACTGCATATAAACAGACTTATGATTTTATTTATTATCATCTTACTACTTTGAATTTCATATTTTCTTTGACTCTTCTACCATAGCCTTTTTTTCCCATCCCGTAGCTCCTTCAACAACTCGTATCATCAGATAACGTTTTATTTCCCTTGTGATTTTTTGTTTCTTTTTTTACATGATGTTTATTCAAGAGTGTAATTCATCTACAAGGGTCATATAATCTCAAAAACGAGTTCGAGAGGTGTGTGTTATGAACTTAATGTTTGAGGGCCTCAAAACGGGGTACAAGGAAGATAAATTGGAAGTTTGTTGAGATGTAAATGTTGGTAGTTGTGATAGCTTATCTAGGGATAGTCCAAAGAAAAGATCACCTAGTGATAACGATATTGACTTGGTGTCTTCTTCCTTATGTCTTTCTAGATCTCTTATGGCGCTAACCAGTCCCTACCAAAGCTCCTTTTATGAAGAGGCCTTGAGCATTAACTCCATATGTCTTGAAATCGATTGGGCGGAAGCCCTTCATGTAGGTTTAGACTAGTCTAACATTGAAAATGACACCATTGTGATATTGGAGTCGTGTATAGTAGGAGATAAGGCTTGCATGAGGCAACCTCAGGGGTGAATGATGAGTACTTATACTTATATGTTGGGGTTATTGAAGATTTATTGGTTGGAATTCCTTTTAGCGTCATTCAAGTTGATATTATCAAGGTTGTCAATATCGCCCCTTCTTAGTTGCATCTGAACAATTGGGAATTTATTTGAGGATTAAAGATCCTCTATTGGGGGTTTGGCATCATGTATACAACCAGTATATTATTCTCATTCTATGAGACAAAAGGCGTGAGCAAGGGTGATTGAGTTTCTGTGAACCCCATCCTTAGGTGAGCTCTCCTTTTTATGTATACTTCCAACTACAAGAATTGGAAGGATAAATATTTTTTGAATCAAAGGCAATGTCTAATTCCTCGAGGTCATGTATGAAAAGGACATAACATATAGGTTTACTCTTTATTGGACGGGTGAACCGCTTAATGTCATGGGCTATGAACCGAATAAGCTTAGTGAGACAGGGGAAGAAGATGTTGACATCCTAAAGCAGTTATGTATTATAAGAGTAAATGACCTATTCATATACGAGGGAGATTAGCCGCATTGATGGTTTTTTTGGTAAGGTGTATTATTTTTTGACATTTCACCCCTCTTTATAATTTGCAGTTACTTTTGACCAATGTTTTTTTTGAGATGATGACTCCACTTCCAGTAATAGAGAGGAATGTGATGATGGAGAAAGCCAAAACTCACCGTGACGAAGTAGATTCCAACCACCAGAGTGACCATGCAGGCTTTCAGGATCAGGAAACCAAGAAGAGGAAAGATGTTTTAGATAGGAAGGTTGTCAAGGCTATTCCCTTAACTATTGTATGACCGCCTCATGCACCAAGCGTACAAAGTAGCCTCTTTCCAAGAGAAGCATGGAGGACTCTAGAAAATTTCCAATAAATATGGACAATTTCGCTTCCACCGAATTAGAGGTGGGAAGTTTCATGGAAGTTAATGGAAACAACCATTAAAAGCCAGATCTTTTGTAACTTTTGGTGAAAAAGAGTTGCACTTTTGGTAGAGAAGCTTTGATGGGTTATTGTTAGGAACCCAGAAGATGTGCCGACTCCTTGGCACCTATATGATGAAGAGTGTCGTTCTTAGTTGGGCCTTATTTGAAGATCCATACTTGTCAACAAAATTAAAAAAGGGAAAACAATTTGAAGGCTTTCCTCAAGAATATGAAGACTCACTATGAACTCAACCAGACCTGGTTGACATATGCTGATGAGAGGATAACTGCTCTCAAAAAAGGTTTGACGGATTTGTAGGTTTCCCATAAAAAATTGTATCAAGAAAAAGATTCAATTATGGAGGAAAGGAAAACCTTTGAGTTGAGTTGTCAGAGCCAAAGTTCCAAACTTCCCGAAGTCGAGGTCGAGGTGAATATATGGTCTTAAAGAGGCGGACAAAACTCATGCTTCTACCATAAAAAATATTTATGAGGACTTAAAGAAGGCTTGTATGGGCGCCCTTGTTTCTAGGAAAAATGTTTTGAAAAAGAGAAGTGAAAATACTCTACTTCCATACTGAGCTTGGTGAGATGGACTAATAAGGTGGTTGTGGATGGTCGCCAAGTGGAGGAATCCGGCCCTGCGGTTGACTAAGACTTGGATGAAGAGCCTGAGACAATACCTTTTCTAAAGAAGGTGTCGCCTACTGAAGTGACCATTATTACATATGAGAAAACCCTGAAAATGAACTTATCTAAAGTCATCTGTAAAACAGGATTTTGCTTTCATTTGTATTTACGTAACTTTCTTAAGATAATTTCAATCCTTGTTTTTGGTTTCTTTTTAAATCTTAATCCTTTTTTTCCTTTCCCTCCTTTTGTTTTATCTAGGTCGAATATAGGGATGGCAACGGGAGGGTACTATAATACCCGCCTCCATGTCTGCGGGTTGAAAAAATCTCCGTATCCAAATCCATACCCATGTAGACACCAATTTTTATACCCATACCCATACCCTATGAGAACCTAAGTACCCATACGTATCCGTTTACCCGCATTTTTAATAAAAAAATTATCGATCAATTATAATTTATCATGTCATTTTAAGTTTTTAACAACATTTAAAAAAACTCAAGAATGTTATAGTTTAGTTAAGAAATAAACAAAGGCTTTTATTAAAACGCATACAAGTTTAATAGTGATGTATTTAATAAAATTGATAAGCATACATGTGTATATAATAATAAAAATATAAATATAAATATATATTATACGGGTATGGGGCGGGGTGGATATTAATGTATTCGTATCTGCGCTTATACCCGCTTATTTTCGTGGGTAATTGTCCGTGTACACGTCCATATTTATTTTGCAACTTTTTATCCTATCCTCTATGAATAATTTTTTAGGATACTCGCTGAAATTGGTACAATTGTCATCCCTTTTCGAATATGAATTTTTGTGTGCATGATTTGGTTGCTTGAAGGCCCATTGTCCTTCTAGAAAATGCTTGTAGGGAGTTGTCTATAACACAAGTAGGGATGACAAAATAGACCGTGATCCAACGGATCAGCCAATGCACTCGCCAAAAAAAAAGGATTGAGTTGAAATTTTAAACCGGCATATCCGTGGAAACCCACCCCGCATATCCGTGCACCAGCCATAACCCACAGGGCAACCCGCAGTCTTACTTAGTCTTACTTAGTCTGTATACATGAGCAATATTGTGTATAAAAAATACAGTCTTTTATGTACGGTTAATTTAACATTTTTATGGATTAAATTTAACACTTTTTGGTAATATTGTTCTATATTGAGTCCCTTGCAATTTTTAGAGCGGACATATCACAATTAGGACTAG